CTAGACATTCAGTTATTGTGCTCAAATCAGTGTTCTGTTTGGGTTGTGTGTTGATTGAATGTGGTGACTGGAACACCAACAAAGGAGACTCTGAATTCTAAGATGCTTATGAGCTTACTAGAGCAGAAGACATTTGTGAGATATGAAGAATGACTCAGATTCGGTGCGCTGCACTGTGGTTGTGAGCATTAGTCAGGCCGGGAGCAGTGTGCAGTTCTTATTGTTTTCCCAGGGGGCAACCTTGCTGTTGCTCCTGCAGCTAGCCAAGGTCATGTGCGGGCTAATAAAGGGCTGGCTCCTGCTGACTGGCTGAAGGTGTTTCAGACTATTTTTAGAACTAAATCATCAACATACTCCTTTGCCCTTGTGAACAAATGAGCTTTACTTGTCTGGTTGCGTTTTCCCAGAGGCACCTGGTCAGATATAATATATATATCATATATATATATATATATATATATATACTGTATATCATATTGAAAAACAATCGAAATGAGCTTTCGATTTCGACTTTCGAAGTAAAAAGCAGGATCGGCGATTCTCCCAGTATTGTTTTTCTCTCCACCCCACGCCTACTTGTGTGCATCTAAAGGAAAACAAAAACAGCAGAGCGTAGCCTTCTGTTAGCCTGCAGCTGAACTCTTTGAGACACCATGGCCAACAAATGAACAATAAACAATGAACACATCGTTGACATAAAAAAAAAAAACTACAGTGTGTAGGCTGCAGAAGAAATAGAAACTGCAGGAACCAGTGGAGAAAACTGGGCTCAGCGAACTGTTTGGCGATTTCAGCCGCGGGCATGTATCTCCTCTTAAAATCCATCGTGTGTCTAAATCACCTTTTTTTTTACGGTAAAGCGTGTGGGCTCCAACAAGGACTTCATTGTGCATTCAGGTATACCTCTAAAACTTTGTGAAACTCAAGCTGTTGTTGTAAAGTGCTCTCCTGCTATTTGGGGATCTTCTTTTTGTTTTGACAGATTTTTCCCCAATCGACTGAAATACGTTGTTGTTACATATATAATCAATTATTTATAATTGTGGTGCACAAAAGATATCCCGCTTGATACCATGTAACTTGTCTTTTTAAAGAAGAATTTTAAAATATAGAGGACAGTTGTGAGGGCATGACACCACTGATCTATTGGTCTTATAGCGAATCAAGTCCCTGTCGTCTAACAATGGCCTAGTATAGAGCATACCTCTGGGAACACAGTCCCCCTCCCTTTTCACTCTGTCACATCTTCCCCTCTTCCTCGCCCTCTTACTGTCACTGCCTCTCTTCTCTCCCTGTCTCTTTTATCTCTCCGTGTCTTGCTGCCGTCTTCCTTTCTCTCTCTCTCTCTCTCACCTCTTCCTCTCTCCTCTTCCTGTCAGTCAGGATGTTGTAACCCCAGTCTGTGTGCCAGGGCTGAAGGAGTAATAAGGACTGTGGTGGGCAGATCTATTTTCTGCAGGACACTGGCAGCATGTGGTCAGGAATCCCTTGTGATTGAGGCGTGTGAAGCGACATTGAAAACAGGAATTAGGAATTCTGCTGGTCTTACATGCTCTTCGTGTTGGAAAGAGACATAGAAACAGAAAACACTGCTCATCCAATCTAATTCACACCAGGCAGGTGCATTGCTGGGGACTCAAGGGGAGTGCGGCGTCTAATTTGGTGAAATTTGGACACATGTTCAACATTGATGAACTTTGAATACACAAGCGAACGGCGCTTTGTGCAGCAGTGGGGGGGGGGGCAGACGGCAGCTCATTGATTGCTGTTCACTGTTGCTGATGGATTGTTCTTGCTTCCTCACTTCCCTGGAGTCAATAAACGACGAGTGGTGTTCGACAACTTTGCAAGCAGCACTTCTTTGAGGCCAAGCAATCGGCCTGCTCCGACCAGCCCCGTGCTCCAAACAGTGCACACCCCCCCGACAACCTCTGCAAGCAGCAATACAGGGAGCCAAGCAATTGGCCCACTACAGATGCCCTCCAAACGGCCACTGCACTAGTTATGGATGGCTCACTATTAGGCTGTTTGTGTACAAGTGACAGGAGTCACAGCTCTACTCATACAGCACATCTAATTTTGTATCCATTTGCTTTGTTTGCTCATTCTATTTGTTCCTTTGAATGCAGAGTTGTGTTTATGAAGTATTTATCATGCCGGATGACACATTCAAACATGAGGACTTGCCACATAAACAGCAGCTAACTCATTCTTGTTTTTTCCTTTTAGTCCGCTTAGCCATTTTTTTAAAAACACATACAGCAGCTCCACAATAATAGACTGCAAAACTCTCCCACCCTGCACAGATGAACTCTTAATTTCCTATTGTGCCTCTGAGCTTAAGAGAGAAACCATATGTCTGCCGGATGTGTCTTCCCACTACTTTAGTTAATGATAAGCTGTACTTTTAAATAATGATTATAAAAATGACTAAATTAAAGCTCTCAGAGTGCAGCAATTGTGCTGCCCTATAGTGCCAAATCAAGACAAATTGAATGTACCACTCGGCTCCTGCTGTGTGCCGCCATGCTCCCTCTGTGTTATTGAGAATGCTTTGGGTCACGTGACTGTAGATGAGCGGTTGTACAGAATTAGGCCAGAGCTGGGCCTGAGGGGGAAATGCCACAGTGACCACTCCAAATGGTGTCTTCAGTGTGCACCATCTGCGTATGTGTGTGTGTGCATAAGTGCATTTGTATTAGCGTAGGTGTGTGCAATCTCTTGCACAAGGGACTTTAAGGTTAGCTGAGGTTGTGGCTTCAGATCTTCTTTGTGAGCATGAGCTTGCGTGTTGTGTAGACGGATGTGAGGAATATTGTGCATGCTTAGGCTGTAGGTTCAATTTATTATTTATGGATCGTTTTAGCATTCGCGTTTAGTTCGATGCCTACAGAATCACGAAGAGATGCCGGTGGTGAGTTATTAATTGAGTATTTAGGCCAGATCAATGTTTCCCCAGTGCAGGGATCAGAAGCGAATTAGCCTCTGTCCGAAGTCTGATGGCACTGTATGAGAAAATGCCTTTCAACCAAAAAAAGTCACTTTCGTTTTTAAACAACTGCTGCACAAACCAGACTCATTCTAATCATTCTGGACTGGAGCCAGGGTTCTACATCATCTTAAAGATCACATCAGTCCTTAGGATATGCTCGAGGCAGACGCATGAATGAGAAGTCGGATCATCCTCTTGGAGCAATACGTCCAACATGTCTGTACTCAGTCATCCATTATAATGGATCATGAGATAACATGTTTGATGTTAACTGGAAGATGATTAAGCCTCACTCCTCTCTACCTCTGGAGGTTTTTTCGTTACGCAGTAAGCTCTGCTCAGGATCTCACACTGTGCCTCTATGGGCTCCATGCATACCGATGTATACTTCAATGTTTGAATTTAAGCACATGGGACTTGTAACTGTGTACTCTTGCAATGGCCATGTGTGTTGTTCCCTTGCCAATCTGTACATTCCCGAAGGTCGCCTATAGTCAGCCAAACAATAATGCAAATTCATGTTTTTCCCGCAGTGGGATTCCTCATTACTCAGTAGCAAAATGCTATAGGCCCGTGACCAAGTGAAGAATAGGGTGGGCAAACTGCCTCTAATGGCTAATCATCACAAGGTAAACATGAAGACGGATTACATGACAGACCACACAGATCACGACTCATTTATCATCATCTGCCTTTTTTTTTAAGCAACACCGCGCTCGCTATTCCACTCTGTTAAATGGAGAGAGCTATGCTGTCTTTTTCTTCGTGCGGCGTCTCTGTCATATGAGGGAAAATCTGTTGGAATATTTATGTTTGACGGATGCTGCTTAATGTATGCATGCTGAATGCACTGTCACATGAAAGCAACCACCAATTTCACTTTACTTTCATCTGTATCTTGGTTGACAGCGGGTCTTTTACCCCCTAGGGCTCAGAGGAGGAATTGCACAATGTCATTGAAACTCAATGGCATATCACAAAATGTGTGTCATTAATAGTGTTTTGACTCCCATATTTTGTTCAAATTAATTTACATTAACAGCGGTTTTCTCAGTCAAATACCTTACAGGCAAGGATTTAGTTTGGTCAGTTTAAATGGCCAGCATTGGTCACCACCATTTGACCGTTACAACTTCAAGCTGACTGTTGTCACCAGAGAACGGTTTCTTATCAGTCCTGTGGGCTGAACTGAGGAAAGGTGATCAGGATGAGGTCATAGAAGCATCTCTGAAGAAAAAAAGGGAGAAGTCACTGCATACATTTATGATTATCCTGATATGTAGGGCTGAACGATAAGTCAACCTCTTTTGGCGGAATTGTATTGTATTATTGTTTTACCAAACTCCAAATAAACTGTGATTAAAAACTAACAAAGTTAAATTACATGTTACATGTATGCAGAGTTCTGTTTGACGTAATGCATAACAATGCAATACGTGTGGTTTTGCATATATTAAGCATATTGTGACATATCGCAAACATGTTTTGTGTGATATTTGATATTTATTAATTATGGTATTTTAATATTGTGATTTCACACATTCAATTCAATTCAATTTATTTAGTATAGCCCAAAATCACAAATCACAAATTTTCCTCAGGGGGCTTTACAATCTGTACACATACAGTATGACATCCCAGGACTCTCACATCGGAACAGGAAAAACTGTAAAAAAAAAAAAAGGAAGAGACCTTAGCAAGAGCATGTGTACAGAATGAACAACATAACAGAGTTACAACACATTCAATGCATATGACATAAATTATTCAAATAATAATTCAAATAATGACTTATTCCCCATACTGATATCAAACTCATATACTAACTGTAAAATAAACAACAACAAAGAAAAAAGCCTAGGAAATGACATTACTTCCATGGGAATGTGGCCGGGTCCCCGGGTGTTTGCCTACTGTGTGTTTATGGTATGAAAGAGATGAAAGACCCTTCTCTTCATCAGTATCAGTTCATGCCAGTAAAAGTTTTGTTTCTCTCTCTGTTCTCTAGTCCAATAGAATCCTGCCAGAACTTCTACAAAGATTTCACGTTACAAATCGATATGGCCTTCAACGTCTTCTTCCTGCTTTATTTTGGCCTACGGGTAAGTTGGCACCTGCATGCTCACACGTGCACACAACAAGCATACACTCACTCGTACCTGCATTCACTGTACACGTACACAGACATGCTGTCAAACACACTGGCACAAACAATATGCACACAGACATGCAGGCATGCATTGTTTTACATACATTCAAATATATAGCATCCTACAAAAGTTATATTATTTTCAACCCACATCCCAGTATATTGAATCTTTTCATCGGCTTTTTTTTACAGGACAACCAACAATGCTTACAAATAGACAGACACCAATGAATACTCACACAGAATGCCTTTAATTTTAACTGACACTGATGTAATGCTGTTGCTAGCATGGCTGCCATGCCAGTGCAGCATTCCAGTGGTGCAAACGCAAGCCTGCCGTCCTGAATGAATGAATGAATAAACTCATAAGCTGCTTACACCACCAACCGCTCGCATGACTCAGCAAGTGGGGTGAAGCTTTTGTCATTCTATACGGTGTGTCAGCGATGTCAGAAAGGAGACATAGCATGCAGTTTGAATGGTGGGCTGTGGTGGAGAGGTAGCAATTCGTATATAAAATAAAAATTCTTGATTCTTTTCTTTTGACAGTTTATAGCGGCAAATGATAAGCTGTGGTTTTGGCTGGAGGTCAACTCAGTGGTCGACTTCTTCACGGTTCCTCCCGTGTTCGTTTCTGTTTACTTGAACAGAAGCTGGCTCGGTAAGTCTGCATGTCTCTTTCAGCTGTTTCCTTCTATCTCGCTTTGACTCTCTCCTTCGTTCTCACTGTTTAGCCTGATTATTTCTTGCTTTCTCATACTGTTTTTCACATATTTATTCTCAACACCGCCGTCTTTCCACTCCTCTTTTTCCATTTCTTTTTTTGCCTTCTATCTTCACATGTCACCCCTCCTTTTATCACTCCCTATCTCTCCCTTTGCCTCTCAGTCCCCCTTCTGTCTCCCCATTACTGGGACTGTGTCTCCAAGGCCCTCTTGCTTTGGGCTGCAGTCAACTTTCCCTCATCATTGAAAGTGACAGGGCTGGGTTCCTCTGATGTTTCAGGGAACACAGCAGAGTGGATTGGCTAATGAGAGTGAGAGTAACTCAGAAATGGGCTGTGGCTCTGTGTGTGTGTGTGCGTCTGTGTTTGTGTGTGTGTGTTATTGGTAATTGCTGCGTTGCACCTGGAATACCTCACAGCGGTCCATAACTGCCATCTAATGGGCTCCTTCACACTCACACAAAAAAATGCACATGGAAAAGCATGTGTTCTCCCCATACACACATGTACACACTTCCATACACACTCTCTCGCATGAGCAGACTGGAAAACACCCTAACCTGCATTACGTAACGACCTACTTTTCTCAGTGCATTCAGAGTATTGTGGCCTAAATTACACTGCAGTAAAAGTAGTTTCTTTGTAGCTGTATTCTTTTTCGAGTGCACTGCCAATTTTAAAACGTACTTTCACAACCATATATACTACATGGTAATACTTAATTTACAACTCAGCTGATTGCTAATCCAAAGTTTAGCTGAGCATGACATTGGACCACCAAGGCTGTTATGTCAGAACATGAGCTATTGTATGAAATATAGTCAAAGGAGTTTAGGTTCTCCAAGCAGAAAACACTTAGACATATGGAGCTAGATACTGTTCACATTTATCTCAAGAAGAGTAAAGATCCTGTTTTTTTTCTCTCTTATTTTGTCAAAATGTGTCTCAATAGACCCAAGGAAAAGCATGTAGAGGTATTAAAATGAATGATGGCTGAATTCCAATTAGGCGCCTGTTTCAGGGTCCTGTTGGTTCGCTGTCACACTGTCATGGTTTACAGGCACACTTGAACAGAATGGAGCTGTTGTTAATGCTATTAGTAATTTATGTGCTTTTCCTGCTATGGCAAGTCAAAATGTCTGCTGTGAAAAAGGTCCATAATATTAACTAGCAATAACTATATTTCTGAGATATGAGAACTGGATAATATTGCAAAAAAGATGTCAAACTGGGAAGGAAACATGAGCAACACATTTATCATACAGGGTTTAAACAAATCTCTAGGTTAGCCAAATTTACGTTGACAAATTAGACCTACTATGTTATTTGCACACATTTTTCCTGTGCAGTCGTAGAATTTGACCAACATTTTGGCTGTGCTTATTTAAGTCTTACTTCAAAATAAGAGATTAGATTATTATAAACTAGAGCAGTAAGGATTTGTAAATGAACTGATTGGTAGAGTGGCAGGAAATTAATCAGTGACTTTTTAAAATATTCCATTTATCATTCCTGGCAAAAATGCCAAATGTTCACTGGTTTTAGCTTCTCAAATGTCAGGATTTGCTGCTTTTGTGTTTTGAAACATTGTAGGTTGAATAACTTTGGGTTTTCCGAGTTGGTCAAACAAAAATAAGACTTTACCTTGGGTGCTGAGAAGATTCATTTTTTTAATTAAACGTTAAATCAATTGATTCTCAATTTGTCTTATATACAATATCAATCTTATTATACCTGATAGAAATGATGGCCAAAACTATGAAAGTAAGATGTTGAAATAAACCTTAATTGTCCCTAATTGCATGACATAAACTAGACTCTAAACTGTCTTTATTTTCACACGCACACTGGAATCACTAAATCTAGTAATATAAAAAGTCATATGAAACTGTGAAAGTCTATTCTCTGAGGTGCTAAAGTTTTCTTAAGAGGCTTACGATGGCCATGAATTTCACAGGGAACAAGCTGTGTAATGAATTAGATATGGCCAAGTCCAGTAATCTGGTTTCTGGTATTCATGATGTAAGGTGTCCTCATCTCATCCCCAGAAAGCCGTTGGTGTTGGGGCCTTGATGAGGATGATGAAAGACTGTGAAAGGATGGTCTGGCTGCTGCCTGACATTCTGCAGTCATTAGTTACCTGTGATCATTAAATATCCTGCACATGCGTGATGTAGAAAGCGAAGACACCTTTTATATACAATACAGCTGCAGTGTGAGTTGTTGTGGACTATTTTTTTGCAAGGACAATATATCAGGTTGCATGTCCATCAAACATTAGAGCATGTTTATTTTTGCAGTGTTTGACATATATACTGTAACCACAGAGCTTTATAGTAACATAACTCCCACTGGCATGGCTTATGTGTTCACTGGTGGTGTACTTATACATGTGTTTAAGGCTGCATACAGTGGTGCAAAGCCTCAGTTATAAAATGAACAGTGTGTGCACTTGGATATGGTTATACCTAACGGACTGGTGGTAGCTTCCAGAATGCTAATGGGGTGCTGAAAGTGTCTGTCAGGTGTTAGGACAGGGAATCATGATCAGCTGTTTCTATCCTATATTATTATGGAATTAGGACATACAGTACCATGTTGTGACAGGAAAATAAGCACAAGTAAGCAGTATAATATTCTGAGACAATGTCCAGATATAGTGCCATATTACTGATGCTGCTTTCCTTTGGTAACTTTTGATATTCCCTGATACATAAATTACATTTACACTTCCCTAAAAACTATTTGCCCCTATATATATCCTCACGCTTGACAGGGCCATTATGGCTTTTCTAATAATCAATGGACTAATCTAGTTGGTGTTACTTTAATTTAGCTAAGTGTGTACATACCGTTCTTTAGCAGGCTTTGTTCGAGGAAGCCAGGGGGGTTGTAAAGAACTGAGCATTGCTCTGAAGAGAGTCCTAGCAATGTAGGATTAGCATTTGGTGGAAAGATGCTAGTAGCTCATCTTGCAACTGAGCCCCATTTCTCACACCCTGCTGGTTAACTTTACTCCTTGGTCATTAAAAAAACACAAGGAACAACAATGCTGGCTGTGGTTGTTTTTGAAACGGAACCGTTTTTTTAAGTAAATGGCATCATGAGTTTATTGTAAGATCATTTTGTACTCCAAAGAGATTAATTGTACTTGTACTCTGATTTTGTGGTAGCAACCTAAACGTTGATGTGAAGCTGCACTTGCTTTAAGAATGTAGAATACTGGCATAGCCTTTAGGCATGGCTCTAATTCTAGCCTGTTACTGCCCCCTAGTGGTGCTTTAGTATACTGTTTCATGGTCGCTTGTGTTTTCCTGCTGAAAGAGGCTTACTGAAGTGCATCTGCCTTATATGGCCCTCAGTCGCTGGCAGGAAGCCACCATGTACAGTCAAGAGAGTGAAGCTAATTTTTGGGAAGTTTAAGCCTTTTTGCTGCAGCCAGGCTCCTCACTTGTCACGGTATTGCATGTTGCATTATTGCACAGGCAATGAGTTGAGTTGTAAGCTTTGAAAAAATGTGTTGCTGGTGTTTGAATTTAATATGCACGTGCTGTCTATCCAGCATGACATAAGAACCAGTGCTACACTAGCAGTGTGTGTGTGTGTGTTAGTGCTGCATAGCATCATATAATCTAATCCATGGCTTCGTTGACTGTCGGTATCATCCCAGATGTAAAATCCCAGACTGGTGATTGATAAAAGGTCCCAGTAGGCTGCTCTGCTAGAACATGTGACTTCGGCTCGCAAATCCTCAATGAAGCCAGAGTGGGCACAGACCAGAAAACCCTTTTTGAATGAGCATCTGGCTATAGCTGAATTAATCCGCTTATGCACTTGAGAATTCCACGATTTCATTTAATACACAGACATAAACAACTGCTTCAATGTAGTACCATAATCAATTTGTCATAGCAAGTGGTGAGAGAAGTACTCATCATATTTATGTTAAAGTAAAAATACTTTGTTACAAGTACCTCAAAATTGCATTTAAGTAAACTACTTGATTAAATGTATTTTGTGACTTGCCACCATTGATTGTAACTAGACAACTCAATAGACTTACGATACATGTCGTAGCTGAGTCATTTTACTGACATTATTTAGGCAGACAGGTTTAATCTTAATTAAGGACGATGTATGCTTTAAATCAACAAAAGAGCACGACATGTTGTCCGACACTTGTTTAAAGACAAGACGGTGTAAAAAGCCTGTAGTCAATGAGGGACAAGACGCAAACATTTTTACAAATTCGGACAATGGCGCACACTTTTGTCCTTAAAGCCATTCATGGCATTGCACTTGATTTTACACAAAACAGTAACATAATTAGTTGTATAAAGATTTTGTGTGTGTGCTTTTATGAAGTGGGTGTATACTGAGAGGCATTACTTCTCTAAAATATTTGGAAGTCATGTTAAAATTACCTTTTGAAAGGTTTTCATTAAAGAATGGATCCCTAATCCCGAAAAGTTTTTTCATGTGGAAATGACCTCAGCCCTGGATTGTCCAATAACTCTAACTATCATCAAAGTGTCAGGATTACTGTTTTTGTTCTGCAGCGTTTTCATTTTATCTTCATCTCTGCTAATCCCTGGCAGGGTTCAGACTGTTTCTTTGAAAATAGGTTCAACACAGCTGTGTGTTGATGGAGACAAAGCTTTACAAAGGGTTGAAAGTAAAGTACTAAAAGGGGCATGGAAAGGTAAATCTGTTTGGGTGGTGAGGATTAACGCTAACGAAAATGAAAAAAAAACAACAACACATATATTAGAGCTGACATTTTGCTTACTGAGACACAATCCCTGGCAAGGCTGGTATGATTAAACAAACAATAGATTTCTAGCTGTCTATTTAGCTCTTCTGTCTGCAGCAGCGACCATCGATTTCAAAGTATTTATAGCTGTTTTCTTTACAAGGAACTTTTAACTTTTGTGGTGCTGCACTGAGGAAGATTAGCTTGTTACAGAATAGTAAAGTCTGAGGAATTATCTCTTGTCATTTTCTGGAGGTGCTTTTGAAATACTAGGCCCCAAATATTTTTGGATCAGCAATTTTTAATTCCTTTCTTGGCAAGAAGAAAAAGGAAAATTCCTTGGACGGGATTCTAAAATAATGATTCCTCCTAAGCTTCTCGTATATATCGACTGCTAATGCTAATTTGGAGCCCATCCGAGAGACGTGGAGGCGAAAGAAGTCCTGTGGCGATCTTTTTCAGAATGGGTACAGGGAGAGACAGGGCCATCATGGACAGGAGCAAAAGGAAAGGCAGACAGGACTGTATCATTCAGTGTGGTCCTGTTTGCGCATCCTCTCCATCTGGGGTAAGGGCATTGGTGGAAGTGAATAGACATGTATTATCTGGAAGGGGTGCACACAATTAGTTTAGTACCTTATTTATGCAGATAACGTGTTACTCTATTAGAGTTAGCTGGTCTTTAAAACATGTTTGCTGACGAGCATATGGCCACTGTCCTACATTTGCAATTAGTAAACTTATTGTAAAGATCGTCTCAATGGGACACAAACTGACACACGTAGGCACAGACGCGAATACACACGTTCCATTGGATCAGTCGCGTTATGTAAAAAAGACAATGATGCAGGTGTCGCATTGTTCTCTAATCCCTAAGCGAGATGCTCTTGGATGCAGACTGAGGCTCATGTAAAGTAGGCCACATGATGTTCCTCCTAACTTGTATGAATGCATAAATAATTCCAATGCATCATCTCTAGAATAAAGTGTCTACTTCTTCCGTTTCATATCCTGGTGTGTCGCAGACTACATTTTGCATCCTATGGCGCTGTGCTGTACCATCATTGCTAAATACATGTTGTCTGTGTCCAGCTGTCTTTCTTCATATCTGCCACTGTTCTGTCTCTCTGGTGCTACTGTAAAGATATTTTAGAAAACATCCAACTTATATGAGTAGATTTGAATGTGAATTGAATGTTGCCATCAGATGTTCTTTATGCACATTTATGCTAATTTCTCTCTTTCTGTGTCTCTGTCTCACAGGCTTAAGATTTCTGAGAGCACTAAGATTGATACAGTTTTCGGAAATTCTACAGTTTTTGAATATCCTGAAAACAAGGTAAGAATAAAGCTTTTCTCATTCATTGACAAGAATCGTAACCACATAGAATAATATCTTCACTGCAGTAGCTGTGTGCAAAAGCCAGGTTGGTTTGCATGTCATTGTCATATACAGTATGTGGTAGTAATTGCTTAAATTTGTATTAAACTACATGCATATTTTATGAGGTATCATAATTGTATGTTTTTTTTATGGTGTGATATAAATAACATTTTCACATTGTATGTAAACATAACACTATACTTACACCTGTGTACCATAACTATACTGGCACATAAACAGGGTTAGATAGCAAAGGTTTAGAAAGTGGCCATCTTTTTAAGCATCCTCCTCCTCGGAAGTTGGATTCAAGCTCACAAGTCTCAGTTTTTCTGGCATTGTGGTCTAACGTCTTTGAGAGTTTCAAGGTTTCTCTTCTTCTTCATCCCAGCAACTCCATCAAGCTAGTGAACCTGTGTTCCATCTTCATAAGCACATGGCTCACAGCAGCTGGATTCATACATTTGGTAAGTGGACAGATGTGAGGACCAGTAAGGTCTAGTGATTAATGAGCCAGTGAGGATGCTAACTGAGGAACCGGGACAATACAACTGTGACACGTCACACTTCAAAATCAAATTGTCGAATTGTCTAATTATTAATATTGTAAACAATTAGCCAACTTTAGAATGAACTGCAAGAAATAATATTGTAATGATATTGTTTCACACTCTTATCAAGTCGGGATGCGCTGATCCAACTTGTTTTCTCCAGTAACTTAACTCATGTTACTGCCAATACCTAGTACTGATCCGATACCAGTGCTTTGATTTTTTTCCCAAATTTAAAATCTGTATACCTCACTTTTTGGATTCATATATTTTTGTGATTTACAATTTGAATGAACATATAACTTTTCTGACAGAGATATATTCTACAGGCAAGAGATAATGTTATTAATATAAAACACAGGTTGGGTGTCCTGGTGACCTAACAGTCAAGGAAGAGTGTTGGAGTGTGAGTGAGACTTTTATTTGTATGCCTCCTCGCTCCCCATTTCTCCTGTCATAATCTACTGTCAAACTGTTCAAGAAAAAATAATTAGAAAAAAAACACAAATATTTGTCGAGTGACATTTTTTTGAAATTCCTGTAGAGTATTCATTGTGTATTTGTAGCTCTGCCCGACAACTCAGTCGAGCATCAAGCTGTTTTACCACTAGATGGTAGTCTTAGCTCAATATATATATAAAGAATATACTGGATGACTCAACAAAGATGAATGCATCAGCATCTGTAGCTGGATTTAATCAAACTTGATCAAATAGTTTCTCTCTGCAAGCTTTGTCTGAACCTCTTTTATAAAATGTTTACAGACTTGTGGTGAGAGTCATCTCTAATTGTCCTTCATTCCCGCTCCCATCTCCATTTTAGGTGGAAAACTCAGGGGATCCTTGGGAAAACTTCCAGAATTCCCAGTCACTTTCCTATTGGGAATGTGTCTACTTGCTGATGGTGACAATGTCTACAGTGGGCTACGGGGACGTCTATGCAAAAACCACCTTGGGGCGCCTGTTTATGGTCTTCTTCATCCTCGGTGGTTTGGTAAAATCAGGCTTTTCTTTCTCCCTCGCTCCCCTTATCCCCTCCTAAATCCTGCCTGTCCCCATCAATAGACTGTATACAACTGTTGAACATGATACATTAATGAACAATGAATTTAAATGATTTAGTTTATTGTATGATATTCAAGCATAGTGCTGTTTTTGAAATGTTAGAACTATGTCGCCTGTCCCGGTGGATGTTATTTACTTGTCATAGTGAAGTTGTCCCCTCCTGTTTAGCCTGCTGTATCCCGTCTACATGTAGTTATAGTACTACGTGCTCCCTCGTCCCCTCCCCTTCACGTGTCACTCCTGTATTTGTCTGATAAGAGTGCAAGTTCCTGTCTGATAATGTTACTGTTCTCTTAAAAGCTGTCGCGGTTTCAGGACAAACCCCCTCCTCCCGTGTCTCTTCCCACAATTCCAACAAACACAGGGGCAGGGAGATGAGGCTTAGGCCAGCCTGACTGTTACCATAGCAACAGCACCCTCCCAATCCGACCCGCTCACCTTCCTCCGATCTAGCGTCCCGATTGGTTGCCCCTTGCACATTACCTTAAGCACAGGCATGCATGGGTGTTCACACACCTCGTATACACATACTGAAGACCTTGCCTCCTCCAACTTCTCTAACAACGAAGTGGAGGATTTAGCCAAATCACAGTCGCTGTGTTGTGTATTTATTTGGCCAGCTATCACTATGCACTGATGACCTGCAGCTGTGTGGATGTGTACCTTGTTGTGGCCATGGTGATAGGTTATGTGTCTTTCCTCAGCGCTGAGAGCTCTGGAAGTCTTTAGGCTCGTACCCCAGCCTGCTTCCTATCACCAGCAGAATAATGGCTAAATAATGACTTCAGGCTTGAGATATTTTAAAGCCAGGGATCATATTGAACTCACATCATTTCACGTTATTCCTGCTGATGGATGATAGGTGCACTTTCCAAGTACGAGTTAAAGTATGTATTTACAAGGGCAAGGGCACCTCTTTGTTTCTTATTGCAGATGTTAGCCTCGAGGAGTGTCAGTGATTGTTAGCTGGTAAACTTACTAAACACGACCCTGCACTAGGATAACAGGCTGTGCAACTTTGCAAAATGCATCCAGCTCATTTTCCAGCCCAACAAATGAGTCTTAATGTGTTTTGCAGCTGTGGACCATCAGGCAGGCCTATTCAAATCAACCTGCCAAATCATCTGTGTTTGTTGGACAAAACATGGCACATAGGTTTTTATTCTCCTTCCAAAAGTCTGCTATTCAGAAAGGTATTGGGTGCTGTCACAGACTCATCAGCTGTGACAAAATTCTTTCCATCCGAACAAACCTGTTCCTAAACTTTTACCTTTAAGAAACGGGGGCTATTTTTTTTTTTTTACAGCAAAAACAAGATTTTTGGGTATATGAAGATCTTGCTCCAATTTTCGAAGTTTATCAAGTCTCTTCAGACAGTGAGAGAGTTTTTAACTTGATTTCAATAGCAAAGGAATATTTCCCCCCTCAGAAATCTGGATTCTTGCACCAGTTTCCCCACCACCCTGCTGCGGCGTAGTAGTCTCTTTTTTAGTCTCTTCTTCTGTCTTCTATCTTCTCCTTAGGCCATGTTTGCCAGCTACGTCCCTGAAATCATAGAGTTAATAGGAAACCGAAAGAAATATGGTGGTTCCTATAGTGCGGTTAATGGGAGAAAGTAAGTATTCCAGATGGTTCTGCTGTCTTTCTGTGTGCGGTGGAACCCTCTCTGCATGCCTTTTTCTTTTTTCTGTTCCATGCATGTAGGCCATGTTTGCTCGCTACGTGCCAGAAATTGCTGCTCTCATCCTTAATCGGAAGAAATACGGAGGGAGTTATAACTCGACACGAGGCAGAAAGTAAGTTTGAATCCAGACAAGGTGTGGTTGTGTGACTCAAGTGCACCCCCATGGAGTTTATAGTTACTGGGGATTAGTTAACTTAACTTTTTTTAGAACAGTAAAGTTACTTTATTAACATCAAGTCACACTGCGTGACTGGAGACCTTGGCCATTAGGACACACATGTCCATGCCCTTTTACTCTCTCTGTCTCTCTCTGTCTGTCTCTCTCTCTGTCTGTCTCTCTCTCTGTCTGTCCTCGTCCTCTTCTCTGTCTGCCTCTATCTGTCCTTCACTCAGAGTCTTTTGTGTGCCGTTCATTTTCTTTCTCTGTCCTCCTTGAAACATCCTGTGTTGCGCTTTAATTTAATTCGGAAAATAGAGCTTTCATGACTACTACATTTTAGACTTAGTGTACTAACCTGTGGTGCTTCTATTCAATATATTTGTGTACTTTGTGTTGTCCTATTTCTTATCTAGTCCCTCATTAATACAGTCTTGCCTGTAGAAATTAATTAGTACTTATTTCTAAATGAAAGAAAATAGTCATGAAACCCCTACTATCCGCTTCCAATGGATCTTTTTCCCACAAGAAAATAGAAAGATTTAACCATCTGCAAGTGCATTATTATTGGTGGTCTTTTTAAGCGTCATCAATTCCAATGACCATTGCAAGATATCTTTTCTTTTCTTGTCTCATTTTGCTTGATGTTGTCTTTTGCATGTTTTATGGAATTACTTTGCTTTAACTGCATCATTTTTGGCATGTTCTCTATGACCTGCAGTTATGAGGCTTATTCATTGACCGCGAACTCCATGAAAGAGTAATCTTCCCGTCGTATGTCAACGCTAGCCCATCGCATCATCAACGCTTGACATGACTCTGGCCCTGATCTTCAGTCAGCTCCCACACCCTGAATGCTGGATGCCTCGCTCCCAGTGGAGGCTCTCAATTGCTTTTTGGCTTGCTTTGCCTGCTTGGTTCTTGATGCTCGCCTGGTTCTCCTGTTTGTGTGTTGGTGGAGTTTGTCTCCAAAAACTCTTGTTATTTATGTATATGTGTAAATGGCCTCTCACAGCAGAGGATCCAGTGCACTGTGAAGTATGCGTGGTCATTTCACCACAGTAAATACTCTCCAGTACTGTTCTCCTCCCCTCGTGGCTCAAACCGTAATGATATTCAGCACACAGGTATATATTTTAATCCAGATGTGGTGTGTCTAGAACAGGGAGGGTAGACCTCTTTTTCCTTCTTCTCTGTTCTTCTCACTCTCTGCTATGGCACTCAACATCTACTACTATGCAGTCAATTCTCTTTGTCACTCCGTTTCTCTTCTCCGATTCTAGTCAGCAGTAGAACGAGGCATTGGAAAAAAGCTTTTCTTCGATAATGTTTGCCTGTCATTGAGATAAGATTGATGAAATGTTATGTTTGGCCAGTGACCTCAGCCCAGACTCACAGATGTGTGTTGAGAGAAGCCCTTGTCAAAGCCGAGGATAATTTCTCCCACACACTTTATTTTCTCTTTCCGCACCCCCCCACCATCTCTCTCTTCGGTTAGACATACAGTGCAAAACATATGGTAACAATCAGAAGATACCCACCAAACACAGGCTCAGAGTGGCACCAGGCTCTTTGGATGATCATTTAGAGTTGTATTTGTTTGGTGTTTACATGTATTGGACCTGACACATAGATAAAACCGCTCTGTCATGTGGGTTTAGGTTTGCCATCGGGGTTCAGTTATTTAGCAGCTGTCAGCACAAAAAAAAAAGTCTATCATGGAAATGAGATTAGGAGATTACAAGTATCCGACTGATTACAAAGCTCACAAACAATGAGATCATGATACATTGTGAGCTATTTTAAATGTATCCCTTATTTCATCTTGCTGCCTGGCCGCTGTCATTTGAAACAGGCCTCGAAGTTTATTTGGAAGTGAGAGAGACTCACGTTGGATCTGTACGACATTTCTGTTTCATGCTGGTGTTGCTTATAGTACTCTGTGCAGTGTAGCATACGCCCACGAGCGCAGTGACAGCACTCAGCCTGCGTGTGCTGATATAATAATGACAAGTGTTGCATTCTGTTGGCGCCCAGTGCAGTCGGGGCTCTGTGGTTTCCATTATGGCTCCATGGTTTCCATTAGCCCCAACTTCAACAGAGGGGTTGACGTGGAAACTGGCTTTAACTGGCTGGACTTTGACGTACACCTTTGAAAGTCCACTGTAAGGGCGAGCGACTCAATGGTCAAACGTACATTTCCAAAGAATCCGCATGCTATTTCACTGTAATTACAAAGTGCATTATACAGTATATACCTGCATTCGTCTTGTAATTGATTAGAGGAGATGCCTTTATATTTAATACAAAAATAAAATGAGAGCTAAGTTGTATAAATTGCAACATTTTGACGATGATTCTTGCAGTAAAGTTTCGTTACTGACCTAAGGATTAGAGCAGTACCAAGTGAGTGGCCTCTGTTGCTGATGTTTGAGCTCTTTGTCTGTTCCCCAGTGACATCTTAGGATGTTCCCTGACTGCATGTTGTGTGTGTGCACGCTCTGTAATACCCCTTTGTATTTAATGTGATTGTGTGCCCTCTTTTGTTTAGTTTCTGGTTTCTGGGTTGTGTTTGGTTTTCTTGTAAAAATGTCCATATAGCTTAAACTGTACGGTTCAATCTGGTTAACCAGAGGGAAGGTATTTTCTTCATGAAGCAATTATAAATGGTTGAATTATTCAAGCTATCCTTTTCTTATATCCTGTTCAACGAGCCAAAGACCTCAGTAGTCAATTTGATGCCACTCAGAAGAGGCAACTTTAATTACGTCTATCAAGCGAAGCATAATATTTCAACAATTATTCTGTCTTAAATACAGAGACTTAAATGGGGGGAAGGAAAAAAGCATGAGGAAGAAAGTTTTGCTTTGCTGATAAATCACCTACTACATCGAGTGTGTGTGTGTGTGTGTGTGTGTGTGTGTGTGTGAGTGTGAGAGGGAGAGATTAATAAACTAATGCTGAACCCACACAAACTAAACAATACGCCATATAAATCTGTATATTCCCTCTACCCTTGTTGAAGGGCATCTGGGATACTGGGAATAGAAAAACGTGACTAATGTTCTTCATCTCTTGAAATGAGAGACATCTTGTGCCAAATACTGCCGGCTGCCCACAGACATCTCAGCTCATCAGCTTGTAAGACCACACGGCCCCTTTTGCTCAACTCTGGCCAGCCATGCCATCACGGTTGCTCATTAGATCCTCTTAAAGGACAGAGGTGACATCTGCGAAGACCATTATGTCCTGCAACATCCACAGACTGCCATTCTTTCAATATGTCTGACACATTACTTTGCCAAGTCCACTTCAGTTCAGTCCTACTCGGTCCATCTGGTACAGAGTAGGAGGACATTAAGTGATCTGGACTATGGTTCTCATCTAACATCAATAAATATCTGTTTCCTTTAAACCTGCCAAACTTAGTCAGATGTCAGTAATATTCTATAATTTTAAGCATCAACTTTTGAAGGTTATTGCGTCAGCCAGAGTCTGCTTCTTGTGTACAAGAGTATGATAATGGATTCAGACAAATCTAGTTTGATCATAAGAATATGACCACTGTGATTTTTTTATTTTTTAGGAAAGAGTAACCCAATACTCATAGTGTTCAATGCAAAGCTGTCCAGAATCCAGGCCCTCAAAACTAAAGTGGTTCATTTGTCTGCTGGCACATCCTGCTAAGTAGTGGATAAGGCCATTGTCATTACACAGATTGCCTTACAGGTCTCCATCGGGTATTTAGGGTGTCTGCCGAGTGTCCACACTAATTCATGTCAGTATAAGGGCTGAATTCTACTCAGCATGTTTGGATTTCTCATTTAGGGGTTTGGCAATAAGACCTGGTGACATTTAGCGTTAACTCCAGAAGGGTAGCTCAGCTTACCACAGTCCAAATGAAGCATATAAAATGTCTTAAATACAGCCAGATTAGCGTGATTAAATTGCTTAATATAACTATATCATGGTTGAGTTCCAACCATTTTTAATAACAACAACGTTCACTACTTAGTTAAATTATTTGAAAAAATAGCAACAATAACATTTAAGGAGCAAGATAACCTGAATATGAACTTTAAAGAAAATTAAAACGGCAAAATGAAAATTTTCATGAACAAATTGAATTAAAGCTGAAGTTTAATTGTTGAGACAGTTAAGAATTTGAAGTTTAAATTTCGGCCCTTGTCAGACAGTGACCATCCAAACTGGCCAAATGACTCTCATCTCATGATATAAATGTGAAGCTGATCTTTGAACTTGACCACTCTGGCTTACGGTGCAGTCAGAGGACAAACAGGGTCACAACCTCAACTCCAAAATCGTTCCAATCTAACTTTGTACTTCCTCACTTCTGTAATCAGCCCTGTGCACAGTCTGACAGATCCCCCTTGCTGTAATGCGTTACATGTTTTGCCAAGCGGACCCGTCAAAATACTCCGAGGTCCTGTTTAGAATTTGTGTCTACCACAAGCCTCCAAATCACTTTGAAAGTTTTTAGTAATGTTCTGTAAAAAAGCACAAGCATATTGATGTAGATGTCTTTGTCAACATGCATTCAGCTCACAAAGGGGCGGTTTGGCTGAAGGGACAGTTTTTATATTGAGAACGGAAGACAATCCAACCACTGTGGACTGTGTGATTATATCTTAAATATTTTTAAAGTGGTTCAGAGTTGAGTGTTTGATTGGACTTGTTGTGCAGAATTAAACCACTTTCATTACATGGGGGAAAATGTTCACTTTTATGGCAAAAAAAGAAGATATAATTCAGTTACTTGTTTGCTTTGAAATGGCATTTTTTTGACATGTATATATTCTTTTTTAGTCTATGTTTGAGATGCGAGAGTGCTTTGGTTTGACTGATTATCTGTGGGAGACAAGCCAGTGTCTGCAGTGATTTATGTTGCCCACTCAAGATGATTTCTTCCCCCCTTCCAGGCATATTGTGGTCTGTGGTCATATTACCCTCGAAAGTGTCTCCAACTTCCTCAAAGACTTCCTACACAAGGACAGGGATGATGTCAATGTTGAAATAGTTTTTCTCCATAAGTAAGTTATTTTTTCCTTCCTCACCATGTGTAGCAGAACACACAGGCAGCCTGTGTGTTGTATATATCTATCTATATATATATATATATATATATATATATATATATATATATCTATATCTATATCTATATCTATATATGTACGCTAACCCCTCTCCTCTTTTCTCTGTGTTAGTATTTCCCCTAATCTTGAGCTGGAAGCCTTATTCAAACGCCATTTTACCCAAGTAGAGTTCTACCAGGGATCTGTTCTCAACCCTCACGACCTCGCCAGAGTGAAGGTACTGTCAGTGACATCTTCATGAGAGATGAAATCACGTAACATTATAGACAACGCTTGTTGAATTAATATGTAGAATACATTGGACAGATTAAAAGCAAATTCCATTTAAAACATCAGTTATTTATTTTTATTTTTAGAGGGTATAGAGCGCAGAGGAAAACAGAGCAGGATATTTTATTATTTATTTCTTCAAAATGAATACAGACAGAACAGAGAGGAAGAAGAAGTCTGAACCACTTTGATATGAAGTATGACTGATTGAAACGGGCCCAAGTAAATCCCACTATTTTTTTTATCATAATGTTAGAGAGACACAATTAGTTTAACACTCGATGCCTGTAAATATGAATTGACTATCATGTTAACATGCCTGCTTCTTTGGTTCCCACACATAGATCGAAGCAGCAGATGCCTGCCTAATCCTAGCCAACAAATACTGTGCAGATCCTGATGCTGAAGATGCCTCCAACATCATGAGGTATTGTATTGTCTGGACTTTGAAATCAGTGGAAAAATGAATTTATTGTGTGTTACATTGTGCCGGCTTTTCTGCTTCAAGGGTTATTTCGATCAAGAACTACCATCCCAAGATCAGAATAATCACACAAATGCTACAGTACCACAATAAGGTAAGACGTCTTGGTGCCCTGTGAGATATAAGATCGCTTCATCTTGATGCTCTTTATTTATCTCACAAGACCAAACGTGTATATCAGGGGATAACCCGCAACAACGTCTGCTGTGTGCTGCATTTCAGTAGTTTGTTTCATCATTTGGTAATTCATAGCAACATGTTTTAAACAAATGACCACGCACTCCATTGACCACTTGCTCCCTTGACTCCAGAAGGACTGGTAACATATAATATGACAATTCATGCAAATATCGACCTTTTCATTGCTCCAATTCACAACGACTATCATGAAAGTTACATATATTATTGTGTTGCTAAGCATTGAAGTTAACAGGTATTTAAAGACGTATTGTTATATATATATATATATATATATATATATATATATATATATATTTTAAATTCTAAGGAAAGAATCACTTTTGTTAGCTAGCATTTTTGAAAATGACACCCTACAAATACAGTGTTTTTGCATTTTAACATTTTGGGGAAAAGAAATCTAAAAGAGAGACAGGCGCTAAACCGGAGCATTACAGACAGAGGGTAATTACAGGTTTATTCAGACAGACAGAAAATTGTTGTTTTTTTGAAGATTAAAGCATGTGGACATGAAACCCTGTGGACATGAAACCCAGCCCAAAGTACAAGTATGGGCCTGAAAAGGAGCATGATGTTCCCCCTTTTAAGAAATATGAACCATTTGCTTAGATTTCTGTGTCTTGTGACCTCCTTTGTCTGTCATGTGATGAAGGCCCATCTGCTGAACATTCCAAGCTGGAACTGGAGGGAGGGTGACGATGCTATCTGTCTGGCGGAGCTGAAGGCAGGCTTCATTGCCCAGAGCTGTCTGGCTCAGGGCCTGTCCACGATGCTAGCCAACCTCTTCTCTATGAGGTCCTTCATTGAGGTAACACAGAGGACAAGATCAACTTGCCTTGTCTCAGTCGCTCCTTCTGAACGGACTGCAGTAATAGGGATGAATGAATTCTCACATTGCATTTTTGTAAATGAGTGGATACAGTACTGCCGACAGATGGACTAGATCTATCAAACACAGTACATTCCCCGGAAAGTTTAGACATCTTTGTCCAGAGAAAGACTTCCATTAAAATGATTTCAGTCGCCCTGGCACGTCATATTTTACTGTGAGATTTCATATGGAATCTGTTCAGTGTGTCTGTGGCTCAAAATTGAAGAGGTGCTTCTCTCTTTCAAAGAACTGTTCTCTTGTCATAAAGATGATGGATCAGCTTATAATGACCAGGCTGATGTTGTGCGGTGGAACATCTGCAGACCACATTGGGCCGCTATTTGAAGGAAAACAGTGTTGCTTTTTTTTTTTTTTTTTTTTTGTCTTATCCTCACATGTGACATTTCCGTGCTTGTTTTTTTTGTCAGATTGAGGAGGATACATGGCAGAAGTATTACCTAGAAGGGGTGGCTAATGAGATGTACACAGAGTATTTGTCCAGTGCCTTTGTCGGCCTCACCTTCCCCACTGTCTGTGAGTAAGTATCGCTCTTTCCTCGCTCAGAAAGCCCACTGTCAGTGGTAGGTATAGCTAACAATTCTGAAGTGAAGAAGGAAACACAAGATGTGAATTTCAAAGGCGTTTGAACACATCAGTCATTTGCTCATCCACTGCTGTCCTCTAATAAGTGCGCATGTTTTACAGGCTGTGCTACGTGAAGCTGAAGCTGCTGCTTATTGCCATCGAATACAAGTCCGAGCAGATGGAGAGCAGGTTTGTTTATTGCATCTTTCTTCCACTAACGTCGGGTACAGCTGTGTTAAAAGTGAACCGCTGTGTGACTCGCTTCAAGCGGATCTTTTAATAAAATATCTTATTTTTTCCCCCCGCTAAATCCTCTTTGTAGCTTTAATAACAGTTGATGATCATATCACATTTGACAGACAATAAGTTGGTGAATGGCATTTGAATAACAGCATGCCAATACGAGCATCATTACACACAACACAACTAGAAAGCACTCAGAGAGCACGAACCTCTGCCAAGGCTGCACAGTCATCTTGAATTTCTGTTTTTCATTTTAGTGTGCCAAAATATTTCATACAGTGTGGTGGTACATGAGAATTTAGCAGAAATGTTCCAAAAAAACATGGATCTGCACCAACAACTCACTCATTCCTTGCCCTCGTGGCCTCACGTTCCTCAAAATTTAAGTGAATTCTGATGACAACTTTTGGGACTGGTGATACTGACTGTATGTTGTCGGTGGTGGTAACTACATAAGTCTGATACTTTTACCAAACTTTGCAGGTATGCAGGATAAAGGATAAAGATCTGGTTGAAATTTCAACTTGGTTTATTACTGTAGGTAACGGCACTGCAACATTGTTTTGTCCTATGTTGATTATATTGTGCCGTCAATTAAAAGACACATTCACACCTGATTAACCAATTTGCTGCACATTCAAATTTCATGTCAACTTGATTCTTTTGTGTCCCTGTTCACTGTGATAACAAGTAACTCTACATCAGTGTCCGTCTTATCGCCAATAACAACATGATACATGAAGTACTATTTTTCAGTAATTTCAATTGCCAAATCTCACTCACTCTTCCCCATTCACCTGTGGCAAATGTTTTTTTTTGTGTACTGGAAGAGTTGCATGTTAAATTATGGTAATTTTGATATTGTAAGTTCAAACCAAATTTCTAAATTTTGTAGTTGTGTACATATTTGATCCTACACTGGAATGTATCCCAGTGCGCTATTTTCTGTCTGTAGTCTTAATTCCTTTGAGCTAGTTAAGTTATTGAAAATAGTTTTTTCGAGTGATTTTGATGATGCCACAATAAGGCATACTTTTCCGTATACCTACAGCCCTTTTCTAGAAGATGTACTGCCACAATTTCCATTGCCATTTGGTTTAATCACGCCTTTGTCAAAAGATAACCACCTTTTAAATCAAACTGAATTTGTTTTCAGTAAACATTCATTTTTTTAGGTGCAAGGACCTCACCTTTGGACAAGCATGAAATAACTTAATTGTGTGTCTGTACAGAGTTGCTTCTCGTGCTGCCATATAAGGTGTACCTACTGAATAACGAAGAGAAACATTCGAAGCATATTCTCCTCTTCTTTTATGTTCATGACAACTGTTTGATTTGAGATTTTTTCTTGTTGTTTGCAGAAGCCGAAAGCGGTATGCCCTCTACCTTATCTTACTTCCAAAGTTCAACCCAATCTCCAGCACTTTAAAGCTTCTGACTTTGGGAGTTTCCCCAAGTTTCCAAACACTATCTCACAGGCCTCTTTTTCTAACTCTTTTTTTATGGTGTCCCTTGTGCTTAACGCACTAACTTCTTTGCAGGCAGAGAGAGGGTAGATAAATTGGACATGTTTGTAGAAGTGCTGTTTCTTTGTCTTTGCTGTTGTCGGTGTACCAAGGCCAAACGCTCACCCTCTCCATATCTACCTCCTATTTGATCTTTTGAGTTTTGTCCTTTGCCAGTCCTTTGCTTAGTTTGTTTCTCTCACTTTCAGTTCTTTTTCAGTGTTGCCCAGTTGTTATCCTATTGTATGTTTGCTTTGGCAGGCTAGTTATTCCACTCATGGTGTTTTTAAATCAGTACTTAATGCTTCTTTGACTCAGAATCATTGAGGAGTTTGTCTACACATAACTTAGACCTCAGATGTGTCGATAAACACTGATAATCTGCTGTTCTATATTATGGATTTAATCTGGAAATACAATATCGCCACCATTGCTGTTGTTGCAGTGGCTGATATAATATCATATGATATATTTTTCTTCATGGTTTCATTACACCAGCAGCACCTCACCACTCTTTTCTTTTCATCAATTCACACACTAGGAAAGGCATGGAAGTGTTGAATTTTGGATAGCATTAAGTTGATCCAAACTGAAATAAAATAACCATAGGCTAAAAGATTCACACGTGTTCCACATTTCACTTTTGCATTCCATCACCCTCTCATGTTGTCCGTGCTAAATGTATATCCATCTGTGCCTGTCTGTATGTCTGGTTTACGTGTGATTACCTCGAGAGGGAGAGTTTGAGTGTGTGCATTTTTGTGCGTCTCAGCCACAATGTTCCGTCACGCTTGTCCGTCTCTCGAGTAGATGTTTTTAAGTGAGGTCACTTCCTGTCAGTTTGGTGTTTGAGAAACAATCCAACTGCACAGAAGTTACTGCAACCGTCTGCATCTACGTACCTGTCCTTATACCTGTACCGCAGTGGCTATGCCTTTCTGTTTGATTATTGTCCTCCTCATGCTGTTTGGTACTGTAACTGCATGCTATGACACTATCACATAAGGTGTTTGATGCTTGCTTTGCTGCTCACAATATGAGGTTTTGATATGCTTTTTTAAGCTTCTATTCACCAGTTTGCACCTGAGCGAAGTCAAATCTCTTGGATAGATACTCCTGTAAAATCTCAGATTTGGGCAGCAATGTTTGTGGAACTGTGATCTTTGATCTATTTCTTTCATTTATTTTCACTAAAGAGCATGCCAGGTGTAACGCCTGTTTACTTCTCTGGGGGCCATTCAATCTCAGAGAATGTTAGATTCTATTATACTTATTGAAAAGAAAAAATGTGGTGGGAAAAAAAATCTAATCTGCATGACTGGTGCAATTTGATCACGGCCCGACATGTGTATGGATTCAATTGCTCCCTTACTATTTTTGTTTATTTTCTCCGATGTAGCCTTTTCCAGAGCCCAGAGGAAAGATGTAGTAAGAAAGATGTTTTCTTAAAAGTAATACTTCACTTCTGCTCTGAGTCGGCACAAACAACATACTTTTTCAAAATGAGTTCCTAAAATGTCACAAAATAGTTATTTAGAATACAAAGATTTGAATCAAGATAGTAAGAGACGCGTTACCCTAGCACTGACAGTAGTTTCGTGAGCCATATGAAAGTAGTATTGTCACAAATTGCCAAAAGTTTTAGTTTATAACTGAGTAAATTAAATATAAATAACAATAGTTCATCATCTTTCATCTGGGCTCGTCGTATTTTGAAGGAGTGTGACCCTTAAAGGTTTGTGGGTTCAGTGTTTTGATTTCTTAGTTCACACTCACATCATTGATGATTGTTGCCCACAGGTAACCATTAATGACCAGTGTGTGTGTGTGGGTGTATGTATGAGCGTACAGTATGTGTGTGCTGCGTCTACCCGTTGTCTCAGTCTAATTAATGGGGAATGATACAGCCAGTCACTTTAAGTGCTCAGGTAAATAAACTGAGTCCCACACAAAATCAAAATGGTTTGCTAATATATCCCTTGATATTTTTTAGTTCAGCTGTTTTTCAGCATGCCAGCATATTTGTGTCTTTAGATATTCATATAATTAATGTAATATATAATTTGAAGTAATTATTGACCTTGCTGGACATGCATTGTAATTATTTTCACCCTGTAATTCAAGTGAGCAGAGTCACTACATATGTTGATATGAGTTTATCCACCTTTGGACTTAACTTTAGAGCAATCCTAAATACTATAGCAGAGTCACCAGAGTACAATCAGCTTTGTATTGGCAGGAAAAGGAGCTGTTCATTCCCTTGCATCCCACTGTCAATTACTAACCGAGATAACAACTCTTACTGTACATTTTCTGTACTACAGCCATGTCTCAGTGGCCATCATAACATGTGTTGTGACTAGATGATTGTATTTGAGTGCTGACACTAAAACCACTCCATAGCCATAATTTTAATTCTTTCTGCCCGTGTGCCTTTACTTGTACCTCTCTGTCCCCCTTCTCACCCTGTGGCAAACCAATACCATGCTATAAAGAAAAGAATTCAAATTGAATGTGCGGTCATACTGTTGTACATTCTGTCCATCCATGAGAGTATCACATCAGCAAATTGCCCAAAATCAAACAAGTCCAGATAAGCACAGTGCACATCCGATTAACGGCATCAACAAGTCTGTGTACCATTCCTCTTGATTAGCACGTTATGTTCATGAACTGAGTGTTGTCCAGAAGTTAATGAGCACGATGTGTCTATTTCTCTGATAACCCAGCATCCTCATCAACCCGGGCAACCACGTCAAGTTGCAGGAAGGAACACTGGGATTTTTTATCGCCAGTGATGCCAAGGAAGTTAAGAGGTAATACGGCGATCCTGATGATCGGCTGCTCACTAATTATGTCGAATGGGCAGTTTGATTATTTTAAGTGCTGAACATTTTTACTGTGTCACTTTTAGAGCATTTTTCTACTGCAAAGCTTGTCATGACGACATCACAGACGCTAAGCGGATCAAGAAGTGTGGCTGCAAACGACGTGAGTAGCTGCGCCTTTATTTTGCCCCATCGACGCCCCTCCTTCCCTTCCTCTCGCTCCAAAACCTACCTGTGGGTCTGTGTGTCTCATCATACTTACGGTTTATATTAAACTGTACCTCTCATTGTGTCATTGTTCCTCTGTACCACGGCACTGTGATTTTAAAGGTAAAACTGTATGTTGTCGCACCATTACACCCTTAGGAAAGTGTTTATTATGGGTCTCATTTGAACTTCCATAACATCCATCATGGTATGATCATCAGTCAATATCTGATTAGTTTTTTCCCTAGAAGAAATGTAGGTGTTATGTTTGAGTGTGTGTTTTCTTCTTTATTCTTCTTTGTAGTTTACAGTGTTAGACATGAGGCATTTAGTAGATATAATTGAAATTGTGTTAGTTGACAGCTGTAGAGACCAAAAACAGGAAAACATCCACAATAAGAGAGACGATGCATAAGACAATGAGATTTTTTACTGTAACATTTAAAGTATTATTGGCTGTGACCCACTGTTATTATATTCATTTTACATGTAAATGCTATGAGAGTATTTGAGAGTACTGCACTCAGCCACCGTGATCTTAATTGTTAAATTTCAGACGATACACCCATACGCCCCTGTCAAATGGATAGTTTCCCTCTTTATTTCTGCAGACATAACATTACCATTAAGGCAGGAACAGCACATGAATATAACCTGACCTATGCACGGTCGTCACTTCATGTTAGCCACTGGATAACTAATTCAGGTGAATATCCCATATTTCTACAAAAGGTCAGAGACAATTACAGTAAGCAGCCTGTTAGAGACAAAGCCTGGTTTTCAAAAAAGATACCCACCATTTCCTTCTTTTGTCTGTCATTTCAATTATTTAGACAATCTCTTTCTCTCCCAGCTCAATAGAATCATCAGGCTTTTCACGCTCTGGTTTTATTGAGACAAACTGTTTACTTCGGTTTGCTTTCTTAATATTGTCACGTCCTAGAAGTGATCGACATGGCGTTACGTTTCAAGTTATTAGTTCCCAACAAGAGAGTTGCATTTAGAAAGATGACAGTTCCATTACTGCAAGGGATGTCTGTCTGACAATATGTTCTGTTCTATCATGTTGTGTTCTCTTCTGTTGTTTTTCCCATGTTTCTTTATGACCAGTGACACACTTTTGATGTATTTCCTTTCCTGCTGCCATTGGAAAACACCACTTTATTTTAACTACTCACTGGTAGTGATGTATTGTGAGTAAAAAGAAAATGACTGTACTATTACCCAGAGTGCAGTGCAATTGTTTTTTCCTCTTCAGCTAATAGTATACAGTATCTATGTTGCATGTACCAATGTAGCTTCTGCATCCTTCTCCTCGCCTCTCATTTCTACTGTACTGTGTTTAGACCAGACCAAAACCAAAACAGCTGGAATAAAACTCACACCAGCATCAGGCCTCCTCCTGACAGCCCCAGTCAGCTGATGCTCTTACTGAAAACGACAATTAAGTGCGACTTAATCGGATGTGGCCGGTGAGATCTGCAGTTTTCCCTCACTATTTGATCATCAAGCCAAACTCGTATATGTCATTTGGAAGGCAATCTGCGGCAAGTCTTATGCCATTATCGATGATTAACCTCCCTATAGTGTCATGCTGCAAGAAAGTACAGAAGGAACGTGCTAAAAATCACGGATGTCATACAGTAATCATAGATTTAGAAGAGCTAACACGAGGGGAAGGAAATTAACAAGAACCACTGAGGTTTAAATTGATCTGCTTTCTGTCAAAGGAGGTTTTGTGTGTGGCTGTACTTTCAGAGAGCAGAAAATGTCCTTGTGGGAAGTTCTGCAAATCCTAACGAGCTAGGTTGCCAAAACACAATCAAAACAATCTGGTATCCCCCTTGCCCCACTTCTCTGTGATCTCAGCCCTTTTCTAAACTTTGGGTCCTCGTCCTGCTCTGGCCGAGGTTTCAGAGATCATCAGTTCCTCTCAGAGTTGAAATGTCACCACACACGTCTTGTGCATTTCAAATCTAGGCAGATGTTAGGCCCCCTTTTTATTTGACTCGCTGCGCTGGTTCACTAGCAGTACAGTGTTGCCAGAGTGTTAGATTGCCACCAGATGGCGATGCCATGCCAGAGTCATGTCTAATAATACAATACTCAAATGGTGATGTCTGTAGAGGAAACTTAAATCCCCTGAAACCTGTTCAGCAAAACATGCAAGGATGAAATTGGTGTTTCTGTGCATTGGAGTAATAAATTGAATCAAAAAACGGATCTACAGTTTGTTAAATTCCTCAGCCTGAGTTTGTTTCATCACTTTGTGGTCCTTAATGTTTTGTTTATATGATATGGTGTAGTTGGCGTTTGGTGAAGGCTGTGTGTTTGTGCAGAATGGCTGCCTTTCCAAGGACAAAAGCATTAGTCTTCTGCACTCTTTATTGCCTCCACTGCAATAAGCTACTGTGCCCTGTGTTTGATATCGCTCAAGAGTTCAACTCTTGAGCTTCTGTAACAGTGTCCGTTTCCTTGCACTCTTTGCTGAATAAGGAAGTCTTAGGGGGGTATATCAGAATGGTGCTTTCTTTGGGACATCCTTCGTATTCAACATAGTGCCCTGATAGCTTCTGTTTGAGTATGTTGTGACTTGGTGGATTATGGGAGATGGTGACTGATTGAACCCATGCAGACAGTTTATCAGGGCAGCCGTCATGTTGAATCTTCAATTAGGAATGCCCTGAAATGAACACCTTATCATTCAAGGCCAGAATCTGGGTATTTGTGAAGTCAGAAGTCAAAGACATTGTCGGCGTGTGTGTCTGTCTGTGTGTGTGTGTGTAAGTGTCTTGTGTTATCCATCACTCCCTTTCCTTGTGTCAATAATCTACATTGTAAAAAAACAACAACATGTACTCCGTGTTCTGAATGCCTAAGCAGAAACTCTGAAGTTAAGAAATTCCAGCATGAAGTGATAGCATCGCTGCACCTTGTCTACCATACCCCCAAACTGTTTCAACACTGTGAACAGTTATCTCTGTAGCCTCTCTTGTTGCTAAGACCAGAACTACGTTTTCTGCATGCTGATTACATGCTCATAAGGCACATGTGCATGCCACAGGATACAACAGTCCCTGATGCCTTCATCCCCATGGGTTATGATCTGCGTTTCCCATTCTTTCCCTGGCCAGAAGCTGAAACACATTACTTCATTCAGGATCTTATTTTCCGATGTGACTCAAGAGTCAAAGATGCTGAAAGTGTCTCTGTAAAGGTGCCAGACAGTATTAGTCTGCTGTCTGTTTGCACCTTGGCAATGAGAGAATGGGGACCAGGGACTGTTTCTGCCCAGAGTCACAGCAATCTAGATGTGCTACTCTGGGGACTTTCACTCCTGCTTCCCTCGGGGTTCAGAGCTTCACACACACTGCAACAGACACACACACACACACACACACACATACTGCACATACATACCACAAAGATAGAAAGTGTCTGCTTACAGTTGTTGGGGTGCAGGCTGACTAGTAGTTAAGGAGTTTTTAGTTGTGTAATACTACTTTCACATCCAATATTACCTAAACGAGAGCACCTATTTTCCAAATTGCATTGTCTTTGGGACGATAATTAAATAGAAATGAAACTCTTTCATACAATCATTATGGCATTGGGGTTGATCCTTATAAATATACAGTAACAGTGATGATGCAGGCCAACATATATTTTGTTAGTAACAAATGCCATTGTGACCTGATTTTTTTGGATGGACACAAGTAATTTCACCTCATGCATTTGAAGGCACGTGGATAACAAGCAATTGTGCATTTTATTACTTATAAATCTGTAAGACAAAAATGGTATTTCCTCTTTCAAAAGTTACATATGCTCACTTTAAATTGACAAATAAATCACAGAATAATTACTAACATATACATCCTTTATCTAGACTTGCATGCACATTAGAGTGAAGCTTCCCTTGGGCAGTGGAGCAGTGAAACTTATACAGTAGCATGTCTTGGCCCATCTAGCCAGTAGAATAGTGTGATGCCTCGGACAGAGCCGCTACAGCTGCATGATGGGATACAGGTACGTGATCCACTCCTTTAGCCAAACGGATAGAGGATGTACAAATGTATGAAACATTGTATGAGGTTGCTGCTGAAGACATTGCTCATGCCTCTCTTCCCTGAATGCCTCCCTCTTTCCTTTGTCCTCAACCCTCTTTCCCACTGTTATAGTTTTGCCTTGTGACCTGTTACAGCCTTAGCTCACAGCTTGACCTGTCCAGACTCAGTCCATAGAAATGAGTATGATTATTCTCTTAATAATATTGTTGAATTTTACCGTGTCCTAATTTGACACTTCCGACAAGAAATCAAAATAAAAATGCCGACTTTTTTCAGGTAAAGTAATTCGAATTTGAAATAAATCTTGGCGCTTGGAACATGTTCATTTAATTTGGGGCTTAAGTCTGTGGGAGCAGGTGGCTAAGGCTTGTACTTTCTGATGAAGTTAACTTCCGACTTCCCCTGGATAAATATTTCTCCTTTTGCCATTAACCTGCTGCTTTTCCTCTCCTCTCATCCCAAAACATGACTGTAGCCAGGATGTCCGTCTACAAACGAATGAAACTGGCATGTTGTTTTGATTGCGGCTGTTCAGAGCAAGACTGCTCTTGCATGTCAGGCAGTGTACATAATAACATGGACACCCTTCAGAGGGCCTACCCACTTTCCTCTGTCTCTGTTCATGATTGCGCAACCACTTTACGTGCCTGTAAGTTACACCGCCCCAACACATGCTGTTAGATGTCTGTGGTGTGTGCTCCGTGTATATTGTACCATGCAGAGGTACTGTACGTGTGTGTCTGTGATGTCGTCTATGTGGTGTGATCCGTTAACTGTGACTCCATAGTTTGTGTAGCTGTGAATACATTTTTTAATTTATAAATTCTATCTCTCTATCTATCTCTCTGTCTATCTCTCTATCTATCTCTCTGTCTATCTATTTCTCTATCTGTCTATCTCTCTATCTGTCTATCTATCTCTGTCTGTCTATTTCTCTATCTCTCTATCTATCTATGTTTTTTTTTCTATTGATTTTATTTCAACTCTTCATCTTTTAATTTTGTGTTATTTGCAGTTACATTTTATCAGTATTTTTCAGTTATTCATCATTCATTTGAAACTATTTGTTTGATTTCATGACTGTACTATGTGTGGTGGGTTAGTGATGGTGTGGCTCTGTGGTGCTGCTGTACTGTACAGTACTGTAGGTGTTAGACATGTGGCTAACGCATGCTGGATCAGTCATGCAGTTGTGTGATATCATTATTGGATTTGATGTATTTCGAACTGTAAAGGTAAGATATCTGCATATAACAAAATGGAACCTATTATTTTATTCTCTGATAGTGTTTGTTAAATGATTGTTTTATATATTTCATTTGAAGGTCCTTACAAACCTCTGAGTTAACACTGTTTTCAGTTTCCACATTTTTCAGTTGAAGAAGCTTTGCTTCTGTTACTTTTTTTTCTTTTACTTTTGACTTAACCTTACCGATCGACTGTTCAGAGTCTTTAGTTTCACTTTAATGCAGAAGATAAGAGAAAATCACACCTGAAACGGTATTTTGAAGATTTCTAACAGTCTTGTCGAGCCTTATAAATGAGGTGCAGCGCACTGATATTAAACACAGTTTTATTGGTGACACTGGTTCAAGAATGTAACTAATAATATCTCAAGCACCCAATGTGCCCTTTTACTCTTTTAGGCTTTTAGAAAAGAACAATAGCAAGAAGAACACATCCAATTCTTCTCACAATTAACACTGTTTTTTGGACAGAAAGTGTCAATTTGTACATTTTATTGTATAAAATGGCCTGCTCAGCCTCTGATCACAATTGTTTGAAATTGTGTTAGGTAGTGTACCTATCTCCTGCACTCTTTAACAGTCTACGTCACATACACTGCATGAGAGAAGGGATGAGAATTAGGGGGAGGGGGAATAAAATTAAATGGTAAAGAGAGAGGCTTTGTATCGCAGGAAAGAACAAGAAATAGACGAGGCGAAAGGAGAGAAGAATAGAGGAGACAAAAACACAAAATGAGAACTACAAAATAGTGATAGTTCGCTTGATAAAGAAAAGGTCGGAGGACAAAACCTCTTAGCAGATCACCTTCCTTTCGATTTTGAGTGGATGGGAAATGCTAAATTGTCTGTCAATTACACATGGCATCAGTAGACCTAGCTATCAAAGCGTTGGGTTCAGACATACAGATCCGATTTCCTTCTCAACATTCTCCCACCGTCTGCCGACTCAGCCTAGATTAGTGTCAAACACACCATGATGAGTTTGGCTTGGCCTCTTGTAGTTCGGCCTGCGCTGATATCCCTCGGTACCAATTACTGGCCATTACATGGTTACTGATCTCACTTCTCCCTCAACCCCCTGTAGGATTTCAGGAAAGCCTCCCCTGTCTTAGATTTCTTTCCCTTTTTAACTCTGACTTTGTCTGAACAAAGTGAGTTTACTAAAGGAGTGCATTGGGCTTTGTCAGCCAGGGATTGTTGGATTTCCTCTCTCCATTTCCCCCGTTTTGTACCCAGCAGACTGAAAGAATAAGACGTCTTTATCCATGATGACTTCATGCCCTTGTACATCTGAACCAGATTTCTCTAGCCCTAGTACTTGGATAATTGATTTCTTGGATAGAACTCTTTCATTTAATGCCCCCCTGTGTTCTGATGCAAGTTACATTAGGACCACCTAATAAAGCACAATGCAACACATAAACACAAACCTGTGTTGCTTTATGCTCTTTAATGATTCAATATCTACTTAATAGCCATTTTTAATATGCACTCATCTTAAGTGAGTAATGTGATGTTTGGTGAGATTGATAAACCCTTTGGGCACATGGAGCAATCTAGGGACACATTAGCTGACTCATTTAAAGCAGTCTTCTGTTACTAGAGACCATTCATATATAAATCCTACAGTTTGGTCAGACAATGAATTGTTGGAGTGAAAATAAGAGAAGACATGCGCTTGAGTTAGCGGCGGAATCTTTTGCAGTTAAAAAGATGGACATTTTGGACGGAGGAGAGCAAAGGCAAGCAGTTTCTACCACTTATAAATAGTTAAAAAATATAGCTCAAAGCACACGTTAGAGTTCCCCCTTGTGTGGTTGTGTGTTCTGATTCTTGTCTTCAACAGTTTAAGTTGTGAAATACTCCCAGAAGTTGTTCTGAATTGTTCAGCTGAAACAGTTGTTTTTTGATCTGTATATTAGTTACATATGGTCTTTATTTGTGACCAGACCATCATCACAGGCAGCCAGCTGAGAAAAAAGTGACAAAATAGACACGTGACCGTTTTTTTTTTATAATGGAGAGGCTGAAAGCTTTTACAAAGCTCGGCTATGGACAAGGGTTGGAGACCCGGGGCTCGGAAGATGCTTACACGGCCATTTGGGCTGTGTGTGTGTAACAACATGCACTTCAATCTATGTGTCTGTGCATGTGTGTGCATCTGCATCTCATTGCTGGGGACCTTATCTATCCTGACACGGAAATTATGTTTGCATTTTCATTTTCCCAGCCCTGCTGGTCTGTCACCAAACTTGCCCTGACAGCTCCTGTCCACCAGGCAGGCTTGCCCCCCCTCCCCCCTCCCCCCACCCTCTGTCCTATGCCGCCTTGCTACGCCCCCGATGCTAGCCAGTTAGTCTGCCGCCTCTGCAGTGCGGGCAGATTGCTAGAGACAGATGCCAGGTTCCACTGTGGGTCCCTGTTTGAGGATCTGTGTCATAGGCCAGCCTTGGGCCCTCACTGTGACCTTTACTGCTGGAAGAGACTCTGGGAAATAGTGGGGAGTGTCAGCAGCTCGGAGCTCATTTCAAATGCCCACTGCAGTACTTCTATCGGTACCCGTCTTCGGTACCTCCTCAGTCTAGGTCATGACCTGTAATTCCCAGATAATTAATAGTTCTGGCATAAGTGGAGACCTTGGTCAACTCTTTTTAGAGAACAACCCAAGAGATTTAAAAGTGAAGCATTAAACCCATGTTCCAAGAATTCCCTAAAATTTCTATTTATGCAAGAGATGTGGACTGCATGTGAAGATCAAGTCTCTTTGCATTTGTGCTCTGTCACCGCGGCTGTTTTGAGTAGCGAGTGTCTGCTGTGTGTGTGCTGGATGTCTACATGCACTTAAGTATGTAGTTGTTGTCTTTGCACCCCATGGTGGCTTTATTTGTTCTATCTACAGACCTCACAATGCTCACCACATTTAAGTCAAAATTTAAAACGTCAAAGCAGATGATTTTTTTTAAAATTAGAAACATTACTTTGTTAGATCTACCACTGAAGCTGTGTAACCTCAAATCTAGCTTTTTTGATAAAAAAAAAAAAAAATCTGCCATTAGTCTGTCATTACATCTCATTACAGGTTGAGTGCACTTCTCTAAAAGCATGGCTCAATCTCAGAATAGACAGTTCATTTGATTCACCCGTCTGCTTAGTTTTTGCCATCATCATCACCACCACTATTAGGTGTTCCCATAATTTGAATTAATTGTACCTTTTTAATTTTTGGTTTATGCCGTCATGCCTTTCACTGGTAGTACTTCATCATAGTTGCATTTGATTTAATTTCCACACACCGCTCTTATGTTGATGTCTCTATTTCCTAATGTGCCTGTTTCATTCCATCCTTTTCCCCCCCGTGTGACCTGCCACTTGTCTTTGCATTCTCCTCAGCCAAATATAAGTATAATGGATATGTCAGATCACGTAAGTGTGTTTCTCTGTCCTTCTCCATTCTGCTCCAACTCTGTGTTTAGACTGTAGACCCCTCACAATGTCATGTAACATAATTAGTACCAATGCTTTGCTCTAGTATTTACTTCGATGTCCCTTATTCCTTTAGAATATACTGATGTTGTCTTGTGTCTAATACAGAGACAAAGTAAACTCACAGTTTAACACAGTGTGAAATTCAATGTTTAACTCAGACTGTTTATTCTAAGTTAAATAATTCAACATATGTTAATTGAAAATTAATTCCTGGCATTGATAGCAACTGAACAGAAATTATTTTTGTGTTTGATAATACCATGTAGTTCCATAAAATATTGTTTTTGTATTGTGCTGCATGTAGCAGCAGATGGCGCTACAACACCAGGGAACAGTGGAAGTCAGAAAGAGGCTGGCGTTCGATTCAAAGCTGATTGCAATTTAGGTAAATCTTAAATAATTGTTAAATGCATTACTTTTTTACTCTACTGGTTAAGAATATTGGTTAATTGCTATTTGTCACCTCTAACATTTTACATGTATATTTTTATTCAATGTATTTGTTCTTATTAAGAATATTGATATTGAAAACATTTGTTTTTGTTAAATAGTGGCTGTCTCTAAGCAGAACTAAAGGGATCTGGAGCTGTCATAATATTAGTTTTAAATTTATGTTTAAAACCAATAAAATAAGAAATATGCATTGCATAAAAAGCTTTTTCATGCAGTTGCGATGCAGATGAAGAACAAAGCTTGCTCATGCAGCAAACACTATAATGGCAAAGCCAGCTTAGCTCACATACAAAAGTAAACATTTGTAGTTGTTATTCCTCTGCCTCATCATCCAGTTTACATTGAGTTCCGACAATCTGATAAGGCTTGCATGCAGGACAGTACCGTCACGTGATTAGCATTTCAGGAAGGGACAGTTGCCGTCTGCGTTGTTCAGGATGCACAGTGGACCTGCCAGGGTGGGTGAGCGCTCTCTAACGCTGCACGTGTTTGACAAGGGCCAGATGAATCCAGGAGCTATCGGTGGCGCCCCGTAAATCAAGGAGGCAGCTGACGGCTGGGATAAACGTCTGTTTATCGCCCGGGGCCACCCAAGCATGCTCTGTCCTCCAAACAACCAACCAACCACCCTTCTACCAAAGGGAGGAACAGGGCTTCTCCTCTCCCATTCAACTTTACAACCACTTCACATGCAAACATACGGGTTGACTCTGCAGCCTCAGTCAAATTGTGTCTGCGTGTGTGTGTGTTTGGTGGGACGGCTTGCTGAACGTCAGTTGTGACCGAGTTTCGACATTCGGATTAAATACAGCAGGTTGTCTCTGGACATACTGTCAAAGTTACAGTCAAAATCACCATGTTTGAGAATATAGGACTACATTTTTTTTATCTGGAATCCAACAAAATTTCTATACACAATACAAAAGGAATCCTCTATAAATGTTCTATGATACAACGTTTTTGAATTAGTAATATTATAAATTATTAGTTCTAGTTTTTATATTTGTTGAAGTGAAAGTAGTCTCCAACACATTATGCTTGAAATGACACAATATCTGATTGAATTTGACGGGCTTTAGCCGTGTCTCTGTTTTGTTCTACCAGAACGTGTAGCGCAACTGGGAAATAAAACGGAGAGACTCCTTACTAATTCATGTTTGTCTCAAATGCAAAGTAAATGTCACTGTGAACATTTCAGTCAGAGCGTGGTGAACATTTCAGTCAGAGCGTGTGCTAAGTAGATAAGAGAGGATGAAGTTTCAACACCAGTTTTGGAAAAATGAAATGATAAGTGATTCCTTTTTTATGGCATGATTTATTTGGGCTTAATCAGAACTGAAATAAGAAAAAAGCAATTCATTTTTTATTTTTTACACAAACAAGTGTTTGATTTTTCATATAGGAGTTTAATTAATTATCGCTCTTTTTTCCTCACATTTATTTCAAGTCATTGAATCTCTTATTTACCAATTTACTTGTTAACATCCTATCGTCCTGAAATCTCTGATAAAACAATTATATAATTAAAAAAAAACAATACAGCAAAAGACAACACAAGGTAATTTTCTAGAGTTTAATCACTAACTAATTCATCAGCATTAATACAGGCTTTCTCACACTTTTATTCTCCATTGTTTGACAGTAATGGATGAAGTTAGACCGTCTTTTCAAAACCGATCAGTTAAAACCACCTGCTGCAACTCCACCTCCACCACCACAAATGCATTCCTTCCCAACAACTTGCACCCCAACCAGGACCCCCTGTTCAAGCCAGGCAAACTCAACATCCCCCTTGTTAATAACCGTAAAGGAAGTCTGCTCCCCATGGGGCCAGGGCCTGGGTCTGACCGCTCACAACTGCGCTTCAGTATCTCAGGTCCAGGAGACGTGGTTGCCAGATCCCAGGCAGAGAGTCGGCTGAACCGGGCCCGCAGTCTGCCGGTGAAATACCGCTACCACCCCAGTAATGCCATGCTGCTCAGTCACAGTAGGCACTGTAGGTTTGCCCCCTCAGCGGGATGCATCAGTCAGTAACCCTGCCTGTCCCGTTGCTTCATTTTGTCTTGTTTGCTGCATGTCGGTTCACTCTGCTGGTAGCCACCGCTGTTGTTGCTCCTGCTGCTTTGCACAGATATACCTGCTAGTGCAGTGGCTGCTTCTGCCTATATTGGGTGACACTGAGGAGTGCTAAAACATGCGAGTTTAGAATCTACATAAAAGAGATACTTATCTGTATTTATTTTCAGAAATGTCGCTTGAGGTGTGAGCTCTGAGGATATCGAGGTGAAATAGAAACTAAATGTAAAAAGTGTTTATTACCCAGTAGCTTGAAAGCATTTCATTTTTATTTTTGCGGGTGCAAATGAGAAGTGTTGTACTTTTACTGTCAACAAATTAAGTTTAAACCAGGAGGAGCCTGCCTAACAATATGGCGAGGAATGCACATTTTTAATGTGGTATTGTCAAAGTACATTAGAAAGAGAATTATTTGTCAAGTGTAAAGTGCTTGTGATATCAGCTATTCCGAAAGCCCAGTTGCATAAAGGAAATGTCAGAGAGTGACATTTTATTAGAAGGCAGAGTCATATTTCTTATCTTTTATTAGCAGAATTAGGTGACAGCATAGGACAGGGGGCTCAGACAATAATGAATTTCCACATGCTTAGAATAGTCACGGCTTGCAGCGTGCACATTGATTTGCACTAATATCATGCTGTGTTATTGATTTCTAACCAAAGGACTAATGCGGGTTTGAAGTGACGGGGCACTTTGGCATTTGCTACTGGGAGAGTGCAGAGTGGATAAGAGTATCTGGGTGCCTGTCTGAAAGCTCTTGAAACTCACAGACAGTAGTGAAGATCAGACAACTGTTAGCTTGCCTGAAATCTTCAGATGACTGGGCCCGGCCTCAATCTGGCTGCTCTTTCTCGTCCTCTCTGTCTGACTGGGACTCAAGCTAAATTTGAAAAATAGTGTTTTAATCTGATAAAAAAATCTTAAGAAACATTGTGGTTATGGCTAAGCGTCCTGCAAACGCTTAACACCTAAGCATCAAAAAGAAAAATGGACTATTAAATCTTACATAGATAATACATTATTTAATTTAAACTTTTAAAGACGAGTCCTGACCTCCTTCTGGAGGATGATGTTTATTTATTAGCTGCATCGATATTCATAGTCCACTAATTCATGCCCTGGGATCAAGCCCTGTCCGTAGTGATGTGTGTTGAGTGCTAAGTGTTCTCTTGGCATGGAGGTAGACCAGAAGAGCAATTTTGTGCGCATTTAGATGGAACTGGAATGATGGGGTGGGGTTCAGATAGTTTTCTTAAAAAAATAAATAAAAATAAACTACCCACTCAAGATCCATCTGCATAACCTAATTTTTGTCATTGTCATTGCTTTTGCCCATGCCCCATTGACAATGACAATCTGTACCATCACATGGCAATTAATTGCGTAGGAAAGCATGGTCACTCTGATGCAGACTGCTAGAGGTCCAATCATCTGCACATTTTAGCGGGTGTACTGAACAGATGCGGTAGTGTATTACTGAAGGCCCTATAAAAGTGCACCTTAAAGAGCCTAAATATGGGGGTTTTGGGATGTGAGCCTTCCGTAACCTTATCAGCTCGTAAAAAGTTTTTTTTTCTCCGTGTTTTTCTCCTACCTCTCTCAGATTTACTATTGACCGTTACTAATGTTTTCTCTATATTTTCTCAATTTGACACTGAATGATTAATTTTCCTTTTTTTTCTGTTCAGTTTTTTGTTTGCAATGATTGATTGATTGTTGGCATTTTTTTTTTTTATGTCAGCTCCAGCACACTTTCCCAAACATCTGTCTCTATTCTGACATTCTTTGCATGTGTTTGCAGTGGAAGACGAGCATCCATCCACTCTCTCGCCTAAAAAAAAGCAGCGCAACGGAGGGATGCGAAACTCACCCAACAACTCGCCCAAAATGATGAGGTAAGAGATGCTGATTTTATTCTCCTTCCAGCACTTCAAATGGGGAGTGAGAGGAAGTCAGATACAGGGAAGAACGGAGGCCGGGAGGAAGGGATGGAGGGATGCGTGTGAGAGATACTTCAGAGGTGGATGCTGCTGATGGTGAGATGATGGGAGTTTGGATGGATCGGAGGGGGCAAATTAGGGGTGGCAGAAGAAGGAGGTAAGAAACTGTGAGAGAACGAGAGAGAAGTGCCCCGTTAGGCAGTGGGCTGTTTAGGATGGCATGCTGTCGGCTGTTAATGACGGAGCTGAAATAATATTTCTGTCATGGAAAGCGGCTGTGAGGAGCCGTTTGAAAACTCCACTGGCTTTAAAGTCCCAGCTGTCACCTCCCCCGGTCTGGTCCACATGTGCTTCTTAAACAATGCTGGCACTAATGACACCAGCAACCAATCAGAGGGACTTGCATGGTTACTTTGCCCTCAGGCTACTCCTCTATTGTGGGAACCCCTGTGAGTGCTGTTTCTGGTACTTAAGGCCATATGTGAGATGTATCATCACAATCAAATATGAATTCAAATATTACCTTCCTTTTATCCTGTCCTGTGGAATTATATTGCCGTTAATTGATTTTGAAAGATAAAAGGGGTTGGTTTGTGTGCTGCTCTGGCTGCGAGGCGGGGTTAGCAACACGACAGCGTGGAAAATACAGGGAGGCCGAGCTGTGCGGATTGGGACGGCAGGATAAAGGAGTGATGGGGAAGATCTAACAGGACAGGAACATTCATAGCTACGCTGCCCTACTCTTAGTGAGAGTCTTATGGTTGTCATCTCAATGACTTTACAAGAGGAAAATCTGAAGAGAGAGCTGCGTGGTTTTTGTCACAAACACTTGTCACTGTTATTATTGACGCAGAGAAGCTGCACTGCAGTTTAATTTGAATCATTTAACTCTTTAATCTGTTTTCACGTGTTGTTCTTGGTCATTATTTTTGCTGTATTATTTCCTTACATTCAACTCGGATTTCTTTGTATGTTGGTCCTGCTAGCTTCCCTCAGGCAGAGTTCCTCCTTCTGAACTGGAATGCCTGTGATTTTTGTCTAGTATACTTGTCGGCCTCCCCCTCAGTTCGCCACAAAACAAGCACTTAATAATCCTTCACACTTGCCGAACCATTAGCCCAACACAAAGTCATACCCTTCAGTCTAGTTTGCAACAGAGCATCATTTTAGATGCCCTTGCTCAGAGGGAGAAAACTACTACAAAAACAACTACACATTGGCACATTTCCAGCTAACTGCTTGTTTAAAAGGCTGTTTAGTTTGCCTAACTTAGAGCACAAAACCTTTTCTTCTCTTCCTTTTTTGCTTAGGAGATGGTCCCTGTTTGCCATGTAATATATGCATCTTTGCTTTGATCTCGCAGTGATAATAATTCTTGCGAGTTATTTACTCAGTTTTGAAAACGCTTCAAAGCGGTGTCAAAGTTTTCTCTGCTTTAGGGGTGCTTTTGTATTCTGCTGGCTCTTGGGTACTGGGATGACAGGTCCTCTGTTATAGGTGTAGATTTTTTTTCCCAGTCTTAGCCCTCAGCAAAACATCAAATTACCCATCACAGTCCACAGCCCCCCCCCCCCCCCCCCCCCCCCCCCCCCCCCCCCCCCCCCCCCCC